GGAGGGATGGATGGATGGATGGAGGGAGGGAGGGATGGAGGGATGAATGGAGGGATGGAAGGATGGATGGAGGGATGGATGGGTGGATGGATGGAGGGAGGGAGGGAGGGAGGGAGGGATGGATGGGTGGATGGATGGGTGGAGGGATGGATGGATGGAGGGATGGATGGACGGATGGATGGATGGGTGGATGGAGGGATGGACAGAAGGATGGACAGACAGACGGGTGGGCAGCGGGCTGACAGCTCTCACCCGTCCCTCCCCAGGAATGCCGACCTGCCGCTGCCCCACCGGCTTCACGGGGCCCCGGTGCAACCAGCAGGTGTGCACGGACTACTGCCAACACAACGGCAGCTGCACCGTGAACCAGGGCAACCAGCCCACCTGCCGCTGCCTGCCCACCTTCATCGGGGACCGCTGCCAGTACCGTGAGTGCCACCCGTGCCACGGGGCAGGGACGGGAGGAGAAGAATCCTTGGGGACCCCAGGGGATAGTGCTGGAGGGGTTAAGTGTGCTGGTGCCCCTCCCTCCCCTGGGGATACCTGGAGACCTTTGGGGGCAGCACCTGGATGGGTTTGGGCTCACGGGTCCCCTTCCCTCTTTGCGGGTGCTTGGGGATTGGATTCCCAGGTCTCCCCCTTCCAGGGGCTGATACCTGTGGAACCGGGGCGATGTGGTGCTCCACGAGGGACCAGGGCCACCCAACAGCCCTCTGGGAGATGCCCACCCTGACCCTCCCCGTCCCCCACCACAGGGCAGTGCTTCGACTACTGCGAGAACGACGGCGTGTGCCAGATGACGGCCAGTGGTGCCAAGCAGTGCCGCTGCCCCCCTCAGTTCGAGGGCGCCCAGTGCCAGGAGAACAAGTGCTCCCGGTGCCAGGAGGGCAAGTGCAGCATCAACAAGCAGACTGGGGAGGTCTCCTGCATGTAGGTGCTGGGAACCGTCGGCCTGGAGGGAGGGAGAGGGGTGGTGGGCACGGAGACCCCCGAGAAAACCCGTCTCCCTGTGGCTGGATCTACGGGGATTGGCCACGGATGGGGTGGGAATTCAGGGCAGATAAATCCAGGGGGCAGATAAATCCAGGGGGCAGATAAATCCAGATAAAACCTGAGGGCCCTGGGAGGAGAAGTTGGAGTCTCCCCAGAGCCCATCCTGGTGTCCCAGCAGCCGTGAGCTGTGCCGGTGGCACGAGCCAGCAGCCAAGTCCTGGGGGGATGAGTTGTTGGGGGGGGTACAGGGCATCCAGGGGGGCACGGGGCAGCCAGGGGGGCCCCATGGGGCTGATCCTCTGTGCCCCACAGCTGCCCCGATGGGAAGATAGCGCCGAGCTGCCTGACCTGTGACAACTTCTGCCTGCACGGCGGGACCTGCTCCATCGGGGACAAGACGCAGCTGCCCGAGTGCCTGTGAGAGCCCGGGGGGCTCAGGGGGGGACAGATGGGCTGTTTGCCCCCTGAGACGTGACTGACACACCCCACTCTGTGCCCCCCCCACCCCGCCCTGACCCCAGCTCTGTGCCCACCCGTCCCTCCCTCCCTCCCTCCCCGCATGGCCCTGCCCCGCTAACCCCGGTGCTCTCCCTGCCCTCCCAGGTGTCCCGTGGGGATGACGGGGCCGCGCTGCGAGGATTTCATCGTCAGCGAGCAGCAGAGCAGCCGTAAGTGGGGGG